TAGTTTGGATTCAGACAAACATACTGGTTATTAAAGACCTCTGCACAGGGGCTTAGTCATAATATCGCAGTTGGATGGGATAAGAAAGTTAATTTTTTCTCTATTTAATTTCTCTATTTAATTCTTATCCATTTCTGTATTCTACTTTATTTTAGTGACCATACACATTGCAATGTTCATATGCATTGCTACTTGTTTAGTAATGGATTTTATTTTCACCAGTATGTTAATTATGCCTTTTATTTTTTTGTAGTTATTCATTTTAAAGGAAGTTAAATACGGTGTATATATATGGATTGTGATTCTCTTCAAACACCTCAAAACATAGAGACATTGTTTTGCATTTCTCCTTAATTAGTACAAGATTTTAAATTAAACTAGATACTTTAACATGAAATGTAACATGTAATAAATCACAAAAAATAGGAAAAAACCATGATTGCTATAATCATTTGTAAATGTGAAAACCATTCACTCTCATTCTTATAAAATATTGAAAATCTCCAAAGTGGACAACCATGATCTCATATGTTTCAGAGAATGTGGAAACATTGATCTTCAGCATTCACAGAGTTTCAAAGTTCACAGGGAATGTGGATATCCAAACAGTAATTGTCATCGTTCACAGAGAATATAGAAAACATGATCACTATTACTTCAAGAAAATTATATAAAAACATGATCTTCAAAATTCGCACCATATCTGAAGCATTATCTGAAGCGTTAAAACACATACAACATGTAAAAGTATGGTCTTTCAGCAGCTGGGAATGTGAAAATTCGTAGAATTTTCAATATTCACAGGGAATGTGCAAAACTATGATCTTCAGTGTCTGTGATTGTGAAAAACCATTATCTTCAATGTTCACAAAAGAATGTGCAAAGTCTTTGATCACCAACATTAATAAAGAATGTTGCACTTGGATAGGTAGGTTTCTAATAAGGCTTAATATAGTTGGAATTTATTCAATAATATCTCTAGTTTTCAAACCATATGGTATATAGGTAAATAAGTACAATTACGATAAAAGCTATTGAACATTTGTTTCTGTCATTTTTTGGGAAGTAATGAAGATTGCAGTGTGCAAGCCTTAATTCCTATAGGGCTATTTAATATATGTTAGTCAATTAAAACAATGATTAATGAGACTACAAGAACAAGGATTCCTGTGAGTAATCAACACACTCGTTGGATCACATCCATTCTATGTTCGTGTTATAACAATATTGCACCTTAGAGCCCAAGCAAATTGCATTTGCATCCAGCTGACGTCCTACTTAGCTGGTTGTGATGTATTATTTTTAGTTAATGTTCACACTTTGTAAGATGGAAAGGAAACTCCTTTTCTATTCTTTGTAGGTTGACAAATATGATTTTTATCTCTTTGTCTTCTCCTACCTTTCATTCCTGAACTTTCAATGTGATTACACGATTATGATAAAATCCAAATTATGGAAATTGTAAAAAATTATAAATGGATTTTTATTTTTATAATTTTTTTTGTTTTTATTGTGTTATCATTGTATTATTTTATTATTAAAATCATATTAGTTTTATTTAAATTAATTATAATATATAGTGTATATATATTCTTTTGTTTACAATCTACTTGTGTGAAGGCCAAGTATTACCATGAGTTTCATCACTAAAAATATACTGAAAAAGGCCAGGAGACACTTTACTGTATCCTTAACCCTTTTAACCCGGAAGGCCGGAAAAATGGCCGCACGCTTACGCTGCAATAACCCTAAAGGCCGGTATACCGGCTTTGTGGGTCAGGTGACATTATTCGGGGTAATCACCTGACCAGTATGAGTAATATGACGTGACATTTTTTGCAGGAATGTTAATTGTCCAATTTTAAGGTTGTTTTTATCAGAGCTACAAAAGTACTTAATTGTGGGAGGATATACCCACAAGTTTAATGTTTCTGTCGTGTCCATTCTCATAAGAATCTTGAGATAAAAACCATAGTCCACTTCAGCCAGCATTTCCTATTGTACAGTTTTCAGTTTCAAGTCCAGAAGGGAAACCTTGGGAGCTTTGAGTGTCCACTTTTCTTTACACTATAGTATTATTTCATGACTAATGATTATATTCAACCCGCTTTGATTTTGTACATTTTAAATATAATTTAATCTTAATTTAGATTTTAGAGGTAATTTTTACTATGTAGTTTATATTATTTTATATTAGGCAGTTAAAATACAGAAGTCATTTTCCATATATTAGCAAAACACCGGTGCACAAAGGAGAGATTAGTATAGGTTTTGTTTCATGAAAAATATGTCTACAGTTAGTAAACTACAGCATAAACGTCATCTGTGCTACAGTGTCTCCATTCTGGCGAGATGTAGGTAACATCAAAATGAAAGGTTTCAATCATGTACATAGGAAATGGACATCGGTCACAAATGGACACTAGTCGAACAGACAGTGGACTAGTTGTAAATTTTCTAGTACTGGTACTCTATATTGAATAGCAAAATTGCATTGGAGGTCAAATTATGAAGTAATGATTGACTTCTAAGAGCTCCCCTAAAATGATATGAGTATCATTATCTTGCCTACAAATACCTATTGCCTAGAACATTCGTCAGATTATGCATGTCTTTTATACATGTAAAAAAACATGAGCAATTTACATTAAAATTTTGCCTTTTGCTATATATCGAAAACAGGATTAATTCATTCCCAGAATATTTATAGGTGGAATTTCAATATATATAGCCAGCTGTTCGGTCTTTGGTGGCAGTATTACATCTATCATAAGAATATCGGATCCTTACTACATGTTTGACTGCAGTCCATTTGAATATTAAGAATGTAAAGATCTACCTTTGGAAAAAGAAAAAAAAACACTTTTAACTGTACATTATACTTGGAGAATGACATAGCTTGAAAGCAATAGTGATGGTTTGCAAGAGTAAAGAATGTTTTATCGTATAGTTAATGTTTGAGAAATACAGTATTTGACACAAATGGTGAAGGATTAAGGTGTGGTGAGGGTTTGAGTGAATGGTGACAGTTTGAGGATACTGTATGATTATGGTTTAAGGGTATGGTGACTTTTTCAGAGTATTGAGGCAGTTAGTATATGGTAAATGATGGAGAGAATGGTGAAGTTGTGAGAGAATGTTGAAAGTTTGAAGGAATGATAAATATTTAAGGGGCCAGTGATAGTTTCACATTACATTAGATGACTTTTTATGAAAACTAAAACCAGTATTGAAAGTATTACCTAGGAGGGATGTACCAACCATTTTACTTTTTCTTTGGTTTTGATCATTACTCCAGGGATTCTTGTTTATTTATTCAATATCAACTAGCTACTTGGAATCACTTGGTAGCTACACAGAGTTAGCCTAGCATCTGTCTTACTTGCCTCATATCTGGAATTTAAGTTGCCTTCCAAATAGACTACCTGTGAAGCATATCTGAACTTTGACCCATAAACTAAAGATGTGCGCATTCATAAAATTAAAGTGCAGTCTTTAACAGACCCATGCAGAAACACTAATTTAAGACTAAACTCGACTATACTCAGTTATAAATTAAATAGAAATACTTTAAACTAGTAAATTAATAAGTGATAAATTAATAACTTTAACAAAAATTGATACAGTTTTCCAATACTACTGTACAATATATACACCTTTTTAAGGTGAATCTGATCTCTACTAAATAAAATTCAATATTTGAATTTCTTACTTTATGTTAATTTATTTAGTAAAGTTATTCACTTTTACATCAAAATACAAACAAGACAATATATTTTGTAAAAGTTGTAGACATAAATATGTAAAAAAAATGTATAAGCTTTACATAGTACCTTAACTTAACCTCCAGGTGATTACTATTGTTAGTGTAAACATTACCTAAGACAAAAGTATAATTGATTTCTATTAATTTGATTGTGGAATCTGATGAGATTAACACTTATCAACTAATGTACGTTGATATAATGAACAGTGTGAAGCTGCCATTGACTACCACCAAAAGCTTCTGCAGTAAATTTCATTTTAAAAAAAATACTGTATAAGCTTAGAATGCTGCACAATGTTGTGCTGTGTTTTGTAGAGTTGCCCCAATTTTCCCACAAGTTACATGGTACACCTGTAATCAAGCAGCAATATATTTCATGAACTACTGCAACCCATCGCCCACAAATTTTAAATGTTTGCATAATCTTACTATACATACTGTATTATGGCATTTCTAAAGTCAGGAGAGGATAGGATAGGAGCTGTTGAGTATCCCATGTGCACCATAAGATGTGTTCTAAATGCTTAGTTAACCAGATCATCTTGAAAACGCTTCCCTCAAATTGGGACATGAATTTGGTCGACTCTGATTGGGTTGTCAACTTTTATTTGTGATTATAATACTTTCAACAAGTCAGAAAATATTTAATTTAACTAATGAATATTATTATTTTATTTATAATTAACCTGTAATTTTGAATGTTCAGTCTTAATCTTAAACTTATAATTTTGCACAGTACTTGTTTTGTGTGAAGAAGAGGCATGTCACATTCTGACCATTGTTCCTTCAGCTGCTCTGCTAGATTCACTGCACACTTTTAATTATATCCTTGTGCATCATCTCGTGCTAAATTGAGAAGTGTCAATTGATGGGCGAAGGAAATGATTTTGAAGTTTCCAGTCGATTGTACTGATGTCTTAATTTTTGCCCAAACATCCAAGCATTCTTATTATGGATTAAGAAAAATCCTGAGCGTTCAGCCCCTGATTTGTCATGTGATGCAGCACATGGCAACATTTTTTACACATGTTCCTTGTTAAAATGCACCAACTTCACAACTATGTGGTCAAAGTCTTAAAAATCATATAAGGTTACTGTTTATTCATATACTTATATTTGTATAAGATTTAGTTTCTGTATAATAGTGTTTTGCAGTTGCTCAGTCATGTTCTATTGCCTCTGCCCTTGTCTGGATGTCTTTCAAATATTTAAATGATTTTTGTTAAACTTTCTGTCTTTCAGGTATGACTATCAAACACTTTTACACAACTCAACGTTTTGTTTAGTGCCTAGGGGGCGTCGTCTTGGGTCTTTTCGTTTCTTAGAAGCGCTGCAGGCAGCGTGTATACCAATTCTTCTGAGCAATGGATGGGAGTTACCATTTTCAGAGGTAATTGATTGGGACAGAGCTACCATCGAAGGTGATGAACGATTATTATTACAAGTAAGTCTGCCTAAATCATTTATCATTCATTCAATACTTTTATTCAAAACCATCAGGTAAAAAAAAATTACAACTCGTGGCCAATGGCCAAATTGCATGTAATTTTACAAGCATAAACAAAACAACAAAAGTGAGAAAAATAGAAAACACTACGGTAGCCATCACCGGGGTTTATGCATTCTTTAACAGTTGTCATTTGTCTATTGAAAATATAAATACTGTACTGTACTTATTTTTTGTTTTTTATTGTTTGTTAACTTTCTCTTGATCTCTACCAGGTTTTTAACTTAAAGACCCTGAAAGGAGGCTATAGGTGACCAATTGGTTCAGACCCTCTGTAGGACTTCTTCAACCCCTGTGTCTGGAACCACTACTGGGGCTACTGAAGAATATATATATATTTTTAGTACAATTCGCATTAACTAATAAATTGCTCTGTGCTTAATAGTATGATAAATAGACTTACTGACTGATAAATATTTACAGTATGTCAATTTATATATGAAATAAGATTTTTTTTTTCTATTACAGTATACAGTGCACCCTCCAATTTGAGACCCTTCTAATTCCGAGACCACATTTCCAAAAACTCAAATAACAATCTTCAATCTTTTAACACAAAGCTAGCCCTCTAATTGGAGACCAACCCCGAGACCACCCCAAATTACAATATACATTGCAAATTATGACTATAGAGGGCTCCCTTCTTATTTTATCTGATTGCATGACAGTGTAGTGTGTCATAATATTTTGTTAGTGTCTTTCAATTTGAATGTAGGTTTTTCATAATTAATACAGATACTTCACTCATGCTTTTGCCATAAGATTACCTGACTAAAGTTTTGTTCAATTAAAACCATCTTTGGAGGCTGGTTTATATTTAACTGAGGCTATAATCTAAACTAGATATGTTGGTTTCAATTTATATTTTCAATTTTTCTTCTAAAGTAAAAGTGACATATTCAGAAGTTGATGGATTGTTTGTGCCTTCCAAGTATAACTATATGAAACCATTTAAAGGAATGTGTAGTTTCTGTGTGTATAATTGTGTGTTTCATTGGCAGATCCAGGAATTTGAAATAGAGGGTGACCAAGGAAGGACTTTCACAGATTGTGGGACTACTGTATACCACCTCGGCCCTATCATGATTAATGGCACCTCGAAGTGGCCGGAAATGGCACCCTCAGACTTAAAATTTGATTATAATTGTCTTATTTTCTCCATTTAAAAAAAAATTAAAATGGGATGGGACAGGTGGCTATCTCCTCCCCCCTCCCCTTCCTCCTTTGAATCCGCCACTGAGTTATAACCTTATACTTAGAAAAGTGTGTTTGATGTATTATGTTTAATAGTTACCAATTTTTTCAACATTCAGAATTGACTTATTTCAAACTAAATATCCCTTAAGTTTGTTTGTATAGTTAGTAGTAGTGGTAAAGGGTCTATACCATGATGTATTGAAAAAGCAATACACAGCAACTGTTTCAGTAGAATAGCAGTTTTCCTTCAAATTTTACACCAGTTGCTATTCATGGTTTTCCATTTTCTTTAAGCCTACGGTAGCACATTTTGACAATTCCAGCAAATGCTTTACCATCTTAGGAACATACGAAACTTCAAACGAGCGAGGGCCAGGGCCACATTTGGAAATCTGAAGGTTGTTTTCTCTTCCCTTATTACCAGGTCATTTCCTTAAAAGCTGATACATTTGTATCAGACCTTTTTTTTTTGGTAAAAACTAGGATGTTGATTATTAATCCAAAGTAAAATCAGTGCTAGCATCCTGAGAAGCCTTCCTCCTTGTTGAGTTACCCAAGTCGTGCGGTTACTTTCAAACGGCGTTCTTCGATTAAATCTTTCACGTTTCAATTTCCCTATTTACAAAAACATTTCCTTTTGTCCGACAAAAAGTCCCTTCTTCACCCACTTTCTTTTTGTTTCTACCTCCATTTATTTCATTTGAAAAAAAAAACTGGATTTGTACATTTTACGAGAATAGCATATTTCTTTGTATCGTAACAAAACATGTGGCGCAGGCCAGGCTTTTAATCAAAAGTTTGTATTATACAGTAGAACCCCTCCTTTGGGATATATCTCTATTGGGGATATCCCTGTTAAGGCGACACTTTATGTCATATAATGAGGGAAAGTATATCTTTTAACACTACAGCCAACCTCTATTCAGGGGACACTCCTATTAAGAGGACACTGTTTTTGGTCCAAATTATATCGCCTCAATAGGGGTTCTACTGTATTTAATTTCTTTATTCCTTAAAGTTATTTTTTTAATTGTTACTACATTTGTTTGTTTTTTTTCTTTTCTTTTTAAGGTACCATCCATAACAAGATCAATTACCAGTGAACAAATTTTATTACTACGCCAGCAAAGCCAATTTCTTTGGGAAACATATTTTTCATCACTTGAGAAAATCATAAGTACAACATTTGAAGTAAGTGATTTGTATGACTATGTATTTAGTACAATGTTTTAGGATGATGTTATCAAGCAATTTTATTCAACAAGCGCTTCAAATTTGTTACCAGCTCACAAGCAGATAATAAAAATAAATGTAGAAATTTGTAAATATTTCATCACAGTATTGCACACCATAAATTTAAATACTAATATCATTGCATACTGTAAATCCAAACAAAATACATGTAAGAGCCATCAATCAATTAATAAACCATAGGAGCAACTTTTTAAAACCTACAAGGATATTTAAAATTTCTAGAAAATCGAAGTATCAAATTCCACTTCTCCTTTTACTTTGCTTATACTTGCTTAGCATTGCTGACATTCTGTAAATGCAGCAACTTAAAAAGCAGGAAGAGAAGCAGGCATGTAAGAAATCAGAAACTTTACTAAGCAAATATGCACTATGATGACATTGATCATTTCCACTAAAATTACAGGAAATTTGGATGGACCGTCAATTAAAAACAAAATCTAATCATGTAAAGACATGTTTATCATGAACCAATCAGATACAAATTAAATGACACAATTTAACATGTTGAAGGTTATTTTAGCTTAATAAGACTATGAGGGAAAACTGACAAAGTGTGTTCAATTTATGCCAACCAAGCCCTCGCCTTCCACATGTGTTAGGCTACAGTATGGAAAGCCATGATTAAGCGAGACGTTTTCATACCCTGTTCAACAAACTTTTTTTTTTAAATGTTCAACAGAGCAGGACATGAAAGTAAAATAAAAAATTGTAGTTTTTATTTAGCAAAATGGTCTACGAAAGTCATCTAGGCGGTAGAGAAACAAACATAAAATTCTATAAAAAAAAAAAAATTAAATAAGATGTAAGCATTAGGTACCAACTAAATAAGGGTGTCATTGTTCTCTTTGTATTTTCTTTATAAATACTTATTTTTAAGATTAAAGATTTTAATCAATAAAAAAAAACCCATATTCCTCTTTTAAATCTAGCAAAAACCTCAGTTTCTGTATAATTTTTTTAATTATCGCTGGTTTTTGTATGTCCTTACTCGTGGTGCACAGACTGCATGTAAACAAAATAACCTTAGAGTAGATTTTAAAGTGAATTAGATTGATGAAAATGTGTAGACATTAATATTTATATTGACTTTCTAGATCAACTACTATAAGAATATAATATCTAGACTAAAAAATACAATTCTAATGTTTTCAATGATTAAGCTTCAAATAAATATTCAAAATTGGTTTGTATCATTTGATTTTGTAGTCTAATTTTTTTTTTAAGTTGAAACAGAATAAAATGAGTGTGTATGAGAGACATTTCTGAGATTTGCAATGGCTTTATTAATTTTTGTCAACCTTGGCGATATGTTATTGGAGTGTCAAGTGGAAACTATTAATATCGGTAGCTTTTTTTTCCTCTGAGCTGAAACAACCAAGTAAATAGGTACATTTGCTTGTATTTCGTCATGTACTACTTACCGTGACTGGATTAGCATTTGGTTTCAAAATAAAGGGTCATAGGAAGTACAGAAATTAAAATTATATGGAAACATCATGGACGTCTAGACAACAAGAGATAAGCTGGGTTATCATCCTTCCATTCACTCATATCATCTTCAAATTCAGTGTGTTCATGAATGAATAAAATAGTTAAACAACATTGGCACTACTATCCTTTATAAAGATCAAAATACTGATTGTGAATTACCTAATTTTCCTATTTGTGTGAATCTTGATATCATGTTACTGAATTGTTCTTTTTAACAAATAATTTTTGAATACTTATAGAATGATTACTGTATATTTTGAATTTGTTGAAGGAAACTGTTTTCATTACCCAGGAAACAGTACCAAATCATTTTCGCATCAAATGAGAAACAAATTTAAATATATTTTAAAGTAACTTCAAACCATCAATATATCAATATATAGCTCTTTGGTTTTTTGTAATTTTTATATTTATAGTTTATTGTTTTGTTCCCAGGGCCCCAGTGGAAAACAGTCTTTTTCCCGATTGGTCAACCCTGTTTAAATATTATAAATAAATATATTTTATATAGTGTATTTTTAATGCTTGATTTCTTTCATTTTTTTGAAGATTATCAAAGATAGAATAAACAGAGAGAATGCTCGTAATATGATGGTTTGGAATGTGCCACCTGGAGCTCTTGCTATTGACCAACAATATTCCAGTGACTTAACTTCATACCCTTTTTTCAACGTTGCATTGGCGACACCACTCTCTTCAAAGTTTACTGCGGTGATCTTAGCGACGTCTCCCGTCTTCTCCTCCGCAGCTCCTGTTATTAAACTCATCAAAAATATTATTCAGTCTGCAAATGTAGCACACGTAAGAAAATTTTCCTTTTTTTTACATCAAAATAAAAATTCTATTTTTAAAATTTAAATTGATTGCATGTTGTGCAATCAATTTAATTTAATTTATAATAATGATTACAAATGTCTACTCGTTAGGTTTTTTGTTATCGTGTCTTCATTTTGCACTGTTGTTTTTCTTGCTACTCATTTTTCTGCTGCCTTTGCAGTCAATGACGTAGCCAGGATTTTCAAACAATGCGGGACAATATCAGGGTGGACCCACTTTACATGTAAATTCTAATAATGTGGACCCATTTTCTTAAAAGTTGATCCATGTTACGCAAAAATATGAAAAATCTGGGCCCATTTTCTTAAAATCTTACCCATTTTAGGCTAGATATGAGAAATCTGGACCCATTTTTTAAAAAGTGGGCTCATTTTATGCATGAAATTACATAATTTGGACCCATTTATAATAATGTGGACCCATTCTTTGTGGACCCATTAGAAAAATTGTGCGTTACTGTCCCAACTGTTTCAATAGCTGGCTACGGCATTGTTTGCAGTTATTGTTATCATTACACCTCTCTAAAGGCCCATTCTCATTTTTTGAGAATTGAGTATCATGTTTGGTCAGAGAAAAAAATCGTCTGATGAGCAAACTAAATTCCGCTGAGCTCTACATTATAATAATTATACTGCATCTCTAAATTTTATAGTACTTCAAAACAAGAAAAGGCGCAACACGTGGAAAAGCAATCAGGAAAACAAATGGGTTTTAATTTCTGTCAAACCTAACTAGATATTTACATTTTTATTACTCAATAAAAAAAAATAATGATTCCAACTTTTTCTTTCAAAATTAACATCTAAGATTCAGACTCAACCTACTGAAATGTCGGTCAATGACGACCAGATACTCTGATGGAGAAAATATCTAAAGCAACCAACCAACATTGCTTTACAATTTATTCAGTAACGTATCTTTAAGATGATATAGTCTCATAAACCTCATTAATAATCTTATTGATCTTTATATTCATATCTTTATATTCATATTTATGATGGAGTATTATGTTGCAAAGGAAAGATTCTATTGTTCTGTTTAGTTCTGTATTACAACAATCAAACGTGAATGATCGCAAGTAACAACTATAGATTTTTAACTATAAATTCTATTGTACTGTAGATAACAAATGATACAGTCCTCGTAGGTTTGTAATATCAACCTTGAATATTAATCCAAGAATATAGATTCTATTGAATTTTTATTCAGATAGTTTTAAGTTTCAGCCTTCAGAACATATATCACAATCTAATGTAACAGAATCCAGGGGGAAAGTAAGAACCCGGTTCCATAGTGTAGTGCATGGCAGTCAATTAATAACAAATTATTAGTTGTATCATAGAAGAATAATTGTATTGATCGCCTAATAACCATGATAAATGTTTTTCTTAAAGGTCATATGCACTGTTATTATCATATATATGACAGGAAAAATGTGTTATTCCGTTGATATATTCGCATGAATAAACCGTTTATCATTTACCTATAAATAATATAGTAGAATATTACACTTTATCACCCAGTGAAGTAATTCCCTATTAATATGCTGTGCCATTATTTACACTTTATTTAAATTTATTTTTCTGGTTGTCTTTGCTTGTCTTAGATCCTTGTCTTTATTTACTCTTCTTTGTCCTTATAATTACTCATTATTTACCGGCTAGTCTTTATACTTGTCAAATGTACAGAGACTTTGAACAGTACTTGTTGGTCAATAATTTCCCAGATACCACTATAGGAGAGAAAAAATGTTTTTTATTATTCTTAATTCTATTAAAAACAAAATCACAGGGCAAGGCTCTATTGAAAGCATTTTCCAATAAAACCTTCAGAAAGATTTTTATTGGTACGTTTAGAAAACAGCATACTGTAGTTTTGCTTGATATTGCCCATGGGTGGATTGTTTTTAATAACAATCTCTTAAACAACCATTGCTGTGAAGCTATACAGTACTCGCTAAGACCACGTGAAGTATTGAAAGACATAGCAAGTTTGGTTTTGGTTGCTAACGTGCATAATTATTACCGATAAAATGATTGAGTGTTTTGTCAAATTCACACTTAAGCTTGTTTCAAAACTACAATTAAACACAATAAAGTTCTGATTCATAGCATTTTCTGTTGCAAAACTGGTTATAAATAGAATATGTAGAAGGAAACTACATTTTTAGAGCCTTGCAAATGATTTCCTCCTCCGCAAACTTAAAAAATACAACCAAATAACTGATTATTATTTTTATTATTTACTGGATACTGCTTCTGTAGTAAGTAGAAACTTCCTACAGCTGCAATCAGTCCTTCCTCATTTGAGGCCATTTTCTTTTGTCACTTGCGAGCATCCTTAGCTCCCCTAGTTTCTTGTCCGTTCTGAGACTTCCCATCTTTGCCTCCTTGAGGTCTGCTCGCAGCGTACTCAGTAAGTTTGTACAATGACGCCCTTTGCGAGCTTGGTACTTGTTGGATCCAACTACAGCAAATTTTAGAGCTCTTTGTTAAAGGTTATTCATTTATATTGCGCAAAATGCGAGAGTCTCTATGCACAGAACAAGTGAACAGATTGCAGTATAGCAATGGCCAGTAATTATAGTGTAAACCAGAAATTTTAATACCATTTATAAAATGTTTTTAGCAATTTGCCCCAGATGTTACTTTACTTATTAGGGTTTGGGGCTGTTTCAGTCCTAAATCATATTTGTCATTTTCATACAAACTAAAGCAATGGGACTAGATTTCTTAGATCCATTGCGTGGTAGGGTTGCATGCTACATCATGAAATCTCAGGATGTTTGTATTTCAACAGGCATTAAAGAATCAATGAGGACTCATTAAACTTGATAATGGGAATATTGTTGTCTCGTTGTTTACTAATATTTTTCATTCTTTGACATTATCTTTGATCACAGCAAAAGAATTATAGTGTGCTTTACAATTAATGTAGTTTTCATTAAGAATTACTGTAATGTTACCAGATCATTAATGATGATGTAGCCAATGTTGTATCTAAATTGATAGTAAATATATACTTTGTCTCTTCGCAAATAGATTGTCATTTTATGGCATGTAGAGCATCCGTTGCCACCAAAGAGTCGTTGGCCAGCTACTACTATTCCATTGACAGTAGTTGAAGGGAGTTCCAAGGTGAGTATTATATTATTTTGTTTTTTTGGTATAAAAATACTGAAAATACAACAAAGCTTGAAATACTATTGAGTTTACAATATGAACAGATATATAAAACAGAACATGAAACACCACATTAACAAGACATTAAATTTTAGGCCTGTCAAGTAATCATACTCTAGTAATTTGGATTCTAAAATTAATATCTATATTATATTGATTATTAAAAACAAATTATA